AAAAAAAAAGGAATTGCTGGGCCATCACCAAATTAAGCATGTCTTACAAATGTATACCTCATTTCAAAAAACTGCAAAGTATCTGAAAGTTGGACAAACCTGGACGGGGTAAGTCCCCGTTTTACTGTAGGTCACAAGTCCATTTTCGGTGAACAAATAATCAAAGCGTGTCAAGACTGAAACAAATTTCAGCTTAAAACTGTACCTTGCGCAGAACACATTTTTTGTACAAACCAACGTTTAAAAGAAAGCAACAAAACACTGGTGCGAACTACATGAACACCTTTTTCGCAAAATGCCCCTACAAGTCCGCGAGCTAGATCTGAAAACCCATCTTCCTTACGAGCGATTTCAACGTAAAACTTACGCGAAAAGGGAAGAATGCCACGAACATTGACATGTACGGCACTGGAAAAAGAAAAAATAAAAGTGATAGACTGTCAATTAACGCGGAGGCAAGAAACTGTTTATTGAAAATACTTGGCCGTTAGCCGCCAACCACAATGAAGATAAACTGATTGTTGACAGTACTTGATTCCAACCGGCAGACATGGTTCAGTGGGGAGTAACACTGGTATTACACAGGTCAGGGGTTCAGCTCTGCCAGTAAAACAAACAATCCTTCGGTGAGCTGTGCATTCATTTCGATAGTGAATTGACGATTTGCGTACTTGGAAGTCAAAGCCGCCAGTAATCCTGGCAGATTTGACTTGTTTGCAAGTAATCCTCGAATGAGAGGACATTCAACAAACTTGTCAATGGCGAACTGATTTTGGCATTTGTTCTCGGAATACTTCCGAATGTCTCCACCGTTCACAAAGAACGCCACACGAGGATTTGCCTTTAAATTTGGTATCGCGACCTTAACAGTTAACATTTTTAGACTAGTCTTATGTCCTGTTTGTAAGAGTGTGTATGTGTGTGCGACGCCTCGTCCTGTATACATATTTATTAATAGGCAGAATATTAAAAAGATAATACAAAAAATGGTGGTGAGGTTCTGGAGAGCCGAATCTTCCCAGAGCAGGAATAGAAGCTAAATAAATAAGTCGAGAGTGGTGATAAGTTGTGGCCTCCCGGCGATGGGGAGAAGTGCTTTTATACCTTAGGGGTCAGAGATTACTAAGGAAGCGAAG